TGTTTTCTTTTTCTTAAAGAAAGGCTTATATGTAGGCATTGTATCAACATCAGATTCCATAAAACCCAGATCCCTCTGTAAGGATGGACCTGGAAAGAGGAGCCCACAAGAATGAACTGGTCAGAAGTGGAAGATCAAGGTAAGAATGTTGTTTCTGAAGCCGAGAGAGGAGGGGGTTTGGAGAGGAAGGTAGTGGGGAAAGTCCCAAGGAGCTCAAGTCAGGTCTGAAAGAGCCCTTTGGTCTTTCTCGACAGTTCGCAACACACTTGAAGACAAGGGCTGGCTCTTTTCCCTGAGCCGAGGGCTGGAGGCAAGGGCGTGCAACCAGCCATCTAGGAGGTCGCAGGAGGTTGCATGTGGCTACCTTTATTTCTTTTGAAAACAAAAAAGAAAATAAAATAAGGGCATCTGCTAGAGAAAGAGACATGGGGGAAGGAGCTTGAGGAGGTGGCAAAGGTTTAGAGTGCCCTTGGAATGCCACGGGAGGGGAACTGACCAGAGCCAAGTTACCCACTGTAGGACACTGCGGGGAGCTTCCGGCCTCAGTGTTTGGCTGTGAATAGGACCGGATGAGATAACCAGTAATCTCTCCTCCATCTCCTTCACCTTGAATTTGTAGGCAAGGGTGCCTTAGAAGAGTAGTTCTCACACTTGGTTGTGCAGTGGACTCCCTGGGTAAGTTCCACACACAGAGATTCTGACTGAAGGGGTCTGCGGTGAGGTCTAAGCATTGAGAATGTTTAGATTCTCAGGCGATTCTAATTTACAGCCAAGACTGAAAATCACTGCCTTGGTAAGACTACCTGAGGATAGTACACAGTAGAAAAAACAGGAACTAGCAAGATCAGGTGTTCTATGCGTAATGTTTAGCTGCCCATGCCAGGAGAACCAATTCCTAGGTCTGTCTGGTTTTGTTATTTCCCTTTGGACATGTATTTGTTTGCTTTGGAATCTAAGAGGTAGGACATATCATTGACATCTTAACTGCTAACTTGTACTGTATCCTTCTATGTGGCAAACACACGAATTATCCGGTTTTATTCTTAACATAATCTTATGAGGTAGGTATTCACATAATCCCCACTTCACAGATCAGAAAACTGAGCCCCTGGAGAACCATCTAGTCACATTCAAAACTTCTGGGCAATTATCTCTCATTTAATCTAAGCAGGACTGACCCCCACCACTCACGAGAAACCTCTTTCAGCTATGGAAAAGATATGTTTACTGTTTTGCTTAATTTGCTCATTCCATGTAAGAGGTAACATGGCATTTGCATTACCACCTGCCGTAATCAAAATCGATGCTACGCTTGTTTTAGATGGATCCAAAATGTTCCTTAAACTTGGTCAGTGAATACGTAGCCACTCATACAGGGATGAAGGAACCTTCTACTTTCCTTCAAGGTCAGGAGTATGTTCTGTTCGCCACTTCTGCAATAGATCATTGCTTCTGGGCAATGAAGTAAACCCTTCACAGAGTTTGTCTCCATAATAATACTCCCTGAAATAACTGCTGTTCAGTTCTAGTTTTATAGTCAGACCTAAGTCAGCCTTCGTATGTTTTCTTAAATTAATGTCTTTAGTTACGTACATGAATTTCTGCATCTGAAAGTGACTAAAAAGCCAAAATTTGCATGCTAACACAGTTCACAGGGATTTTTTTTTTTTTTTTTTAATGAAGACAACCTAAGGAGCAAGAAATAGTTTGGTTTTTACCATAGGCAGTGCCTGAATTTCTTTCTTTTCCAGTTTGTTTTCGTCTTGCAGGCCTTTGTCCATTTCCTTCAGCACCATGTCCATTCTTTTCATAATTTTCAAGTGCTTCTTGCCAAGTTACAGATTTCACTGTGGCTTTTCTATTCTCCTCTAGCAAAATGTCTGTCCCTCCAAGTGCTTCCAGATCACCCGCAAAGCCAGATTGGCCAAATTGGAGCCTGGGCAACCTGTGTAGAAACAATTCCGTCTCAAATTGCAAAACTGAACCACAAAAACTGGGAGGTTCAGTCCCCAACTGATACAGGTGGGCTCAAAAAACCAGGTTTGAGCATTTCCTGATGACTTTGGTGTCAAATTGGCTAGTTTCTTAGGTTTGCAGAGATGCTTGCACACACATCAGAATAATACGGTTGGCGTTACTAATTTTGCCTCTGGGACATGGGATTAAAGGCTTCGGAGGATGTAGTAGAATGAGAAATTGTTATTTCTTTGCTTTTATATACTGATGTGCCCTTTAAATTTGTTATATTGGCCCTATATTACTCTTAACATTAAAAAAACCCAAAAAACCCATATCAGAGTTGTCAAACAGAGGAGCATCCTAGCCCCAGTGGTTTGGGTCAGGTCAAGGACTTGGCGTCACCTGTGACCTTTCTTTAGGGAGAGAGTCTTCTGCAGGGGACAGAGCTGAGGGACAACCTCAGCTCCGCCTTCAGCCTACCTCCTGACAAGCCTAAATGGTTGCAGCAGAGTGTCCCCTCGGTTCGGGCCCCCACATTTTCCAATGAGCTCGGGGGATGGGTACTGGTTTATTCCACCTAAAAATAAAATTAAAAAATTAAATCAAGTCAAAGCATGCATAAAGTAATGTAAAACTTAAAAATAAAATAAACATACAATAAAATAAAGCATAAAAACAAAATATTATCCATAAAGACATAAAATTTAAAAGACAAAAAGTCAAAGCATAAAATAAAATAAAATACACAATAAAACAAAATAAAAAACAAAAAAAAATAAAAATAAACTCAAAACATAAAGACCAAAAAAATCCACTGACATGAAATGAAAAAATATATATATAAATTCAAGTAAGGCATAAAACAAACACCAAAATAAAAGCAAAGAAAATAAAATAAAAACCAAACAAAATAAAAACGTGAAATTCATCCTATCACATAAATTATATAAAATAAAATCAGAACATAAAAGAGTATACCAAAACAAAAAATTAAACCTAACACAATAAAATATTTAAAAGTTAAGTAAAATGAAATTGAAATGGACTAGAAAAGTGATTCCCTCAGCCTGCTTCTCAGAGTCACTAAGCCACCAGCCATCTATTAGAATGCTCTCCTCCACCTCCTACAAAGATAAGGAATCAGAATGCACATTTTAACAAGATCCCTGAAAGGTACATGTGCATGTTAAAATTTAAGAAGCACTGTTATATGCCACTGGATTCTGTAATCCATATTCCTGGATATAGGAATAACAATAACTATTCCTTATATTTGTTCAACGCTGGTGCTTTCAAGGTCCGTCCACACGTATATTTGAATGTAGGCTTCACAAATAAGGAAGAGACTGTAATTCTCATTTTGGTAAAGGACAAAATCAAGAGGTTAAGTAGAAGAAACCTGAGGCCTCCCAGCCACCAAACGAGAGGTTCCAGATAAGAAACCAGCGCTAGGTTTGGCATAGTGTCAGGGCAATGATAGCTCATGGTTTTTAGCAAATTGGGTGAAGGTGCTTTCTGGAGACTCCCCAGAGGACACACTCAGCAAGTGTGAAGGTACAGCGGGTACCTACTCGCCCAAATACCAGGCTCTAGTAAGTTCCTCTCCCCACCTCACCCAGGGCATCCCCAGTGCTTACTTTTTAGAAGGTTCAGGAAGGCCCTCGTGAATCCCTGGGCATAGGCTACTTCCTGGCCTGAGATTCCCTCCAGACGTAGCAGGTGCTGCTCGGTGGGGAGGCTGGCCACACCCTCCAGCTCAGCCAGCTCATGGGTACCCACACCTGGGCCCAAGGCCAGCACAAACAGAGTGATGCCCTTGCACTTGGCCTCCAGGGACAGAGTCCTTAGCTTCTCCTGGTCCCAGCTGCTGGTCTCACTGGCCACGATGGCGAAGAGGACCCGCACCTGCCTGGGCAGAGGGGCTGCCAGGAGCACCTTCTCCAGAGTCCACTCCAGGGCGTGTCCCAGGGCGGGAGCTCCCTGCAGAGGGCGGCCAGAAGCCTCACGGAGGTACCTCCGCATCTGTATCTTTTGGCCGTAGGAGGTCAGGTGGAAGCCCTCCAGCACAGGGGGGCGCCCTGCACCGGGCCAGAAGCCTGGAGTTGTGTACATCACCAGGGCAGCACGCGCCCCACGGAGGGACATGCTAGGCTGCGCAGCCACCTCCAGGTCGTTGAGCATGGCATCCACTAGACTCAGGGCAGTGCGGTACACATCAGCACCAATGCCATAGGAGCTGTCCACCACGAATACCACATCCATGTCCCCTGCCAGGGGTCCTGGCGCACTCCGCTCACACTCTGGGTCTGGTCTGCACTTGTCTGGGGGAGGAAGTGCCAGGAGAGGTTGGGGTTACCACGCATCCCTTTCCTTTCCACGCAAACACATTTCCAGACTCTCGGTAAGAATAGACGCTGCTGAGCGCTACCTGCATTGTGTTAACAAGGTAAGCTGATGGGCAATGTAAGTAATCATGCCCGTTTTTCAGAAAAATGAATTCAGACAATCTAATCCTACGTTTAATGTTTTTAACCACTAGGCCACGGCTTTCTAATCTCTAGGTTCACAGACACCTGCCTGGTTCAGTCCTGGCTCTCGTATTGGGTGTGTGACCTTGGGCAAATTATTCAGCCTTCCCCATGCCTGTTTCCTCATCTGTCAGATGGAGATAATGATGATAATAACAGTATGTACCTTATGAGGTTGTTTGTGAGGTTTAAATAAAAAATGAGTTAATATATGTAAGTGCTCAGAACAATGCCCAGTGTGTAGTAAGAGCTCAAGCTCAATAAATACCAGCTAGGCTTATGCTTCTACAGAAGGGACCAAAACCCAGAGAGACCAGGTGTCAAATGATTTGATGGGTGTGAAAGCAGCTCATCAACTGTAACATACTCTACAAACGGCTGCCACTGTATTTGACTTGACCAAGTTCTCAGGGCCAAATCTCTCATGGCAGTGTTAAGTCTAAGTGTGGATCGACTAGAGGGAATGATTAAATCCCCTTTCAATTTCACCTAAAGGACTCACTCTGGCCCCGGGTGCCATGGGTGTGGATGAGAGCTCTACACACTTGGGCATGCATGGGCTTCAGCACGAAGTTCTCTCTGGCACAGATTAATATGAGTGCAGGTATAGTGATGGAAGCCAGAGACACAGAGACATTGAATGACTTGCCAATATCCCACTGGTGGTCAATGGCAGTTCCAGGCTGAGAACCCAGGATTCTGGACTCTTAGTTCAGGGGTCTGCCTTGCACACTAAGGGGCCACTAAGTAAGGAACACAAGCCCAGCCATCTACAGGAGACTGGCAGGACAGGTAAATAAGCAGAGCGGACCAGGGGTAAGACAATAGGGATGGAAGGGACTGTGGGGCACTCATATCAAAAGAGGTCAGGCACAGCTCAGTTTGGGCTGACTGTGACCACAAAGGAATACAGTGTCTGTGATTCTCAAGACGATTCCTAAGAAAAACTGGAAATCCGGACTTGATAAGAATTCCCAGATTCTAAGACTCTGCACATATTCAAGTAAATACACATCTGCAGGGCAGATCTGGCCTGTGGCCACTGGTGAATTCATCCTGTTGTAAAGACATCAGTCCGATCAGAAACGCTGTCTGGGCTTACCATAGCAGAGAGTGCAGTGGACCATGTGCTCCACGTCCTGCTGACTCTCGGTCTCCCAGACAAACAGGTGAAATCTGTTGGTTCCATCCATCTAATCCAAACACATACGCAAAGTTTATCAGTAGTGGAATTAAATTTCAAGTCATGTTTTTCATGCTTTTTCCAATTCAGATGAGAAAGACATTCATATGATAGTTTTAGAGAATATATGTAATTATATACCGATAAATAATTTGGTATTACCTATTACAGTTATTTATTGTCATTTAGTTCTCTAGTTCTAACCTGGATGTTAGATTATCGTTGCTGTGGGGACACGTGGGTCTTCAGACTCCCGATGTGTGTAAAACTCAGCCAGTGTTGTGTTGTGTTAGAATGAGGTCAGGGAGTTGAAGATACAATCATTTATAAATTCCATATATGTTCAGTGATTGTCCACAGTATGCAAGATGCAGTGTGGTGGGAGTTATAAACACGAACAGGCAGACCCTTCAAGGAGATGGTCATACAGGTCATACACCATTAGAATGGAATGAGGTAGATACCACAGGGGAGACCTCTCTAGCATATTCCTGGTGTTCAGGGCTGGTACATACCAGAGTCAGAAGGCAAGAGTGAGGAAGACTCAGGGAAGGCTTTGTAGGGATGGCAAATCTATTTATCTCCTTCCTTCAACCTTTCCAATTATGATTAATGTAATAACTGATATCAAAGCTTAAAAAGCAAACAATAATAACAACAATAAATCCAACAAGTTCATGTGACAACTAGTTAATCAATAAACCCATTCCCTCTTCTTCCTAGGGCCACAACCAGACAACATTTCCCACCGTCCCTTGTAGTTAATTGGGACCACAAGTAGGGTCTAGCCAATGCCATATGGGTGGATGGATGCCATTTCTGGCACATGCATGATACTCTGTGTGTGCACATCTGCCAGCCAAATGTAGAGGACTCAGAAAAAGGTTTAGAGGCCCTTCGGTATGATGGGGCCATTGATAGGATCCCAGGTCCTGAAACGGCTGCACAGAGCAAAACATTCTCCCCCTCCACACCCATATCCAAGGATCCACATTCACTTGTGACAGATGGCAGAAAGAATACTTTATTATGTTAGGCCATTGAGACTTGGACATGAATGCTTCCACAGTTAACCTTCCCTGGCAAATGGAGATTATTTGCAGGACTTCCACCTCATGATGAAATTCGGAATGCTGTCAGACTATTTCTCTCCAGATATGAAGTGAATATCTAAGATTAGTCCTGCCCATCACATTGTCTGCTCTCTATCAAAACATGAAGGATAGGGCCCCGTCGCTCCTCCCCCTTCATCCCTGTGGCCAGGACCAAGTAGGTTCTGGACCCTCCTCTAGAATCAAAGTGCTAGGGACATGAAGCTGTCATGCTAGCCCTCAGGGAGAGAAGATAGGCAAAGGTTACTTTGGAAAAGAATTTTCCGTAACATGTCCTCCTGACAGAGCTCTTCAGTCTTTCTGCTTGGGACTGCAGCATATCCTCAACTTTAGCTCTCAGAGTGAGCTTACATGAAAGAAAAACCCATGTGGAGAAAGAAATATAAAGAGCTGAACTTTTATTCTTGCTAATGTAACACAAAAACAACATGGGTACTTTCCCAAGACTCTTGAGAAGAAAGGCAAAATGAATCCTCTCTTGTTCCTCACCTGGTTATGCTTTTTCCTGACTCAATTCAAATCAACCAAGACTGATTAAACAGCTACTAAATAGAAGTCTTAACAAGCCCTGCAGAGATACAAAAATGACAGTCACATCTTCAAAGAGCTTAAAACCTAGCAGGAATGAGAGACAAACAACTTTCAAAAAAGAAAGAGGTCCAATAATATGTTTTAGGGACACAGGAAGAGGAGGTTCATTTGAAGCGACGGGAATAGAGGGAGCCTGATGAAGATAGTGACATCTGGCACTTTGGGAAGAATGAGTAGGATAGTTACATAGCAAAGAAGCAGGTGAAAGAATTACAGTGTGGAGGAACAGCATGTACAAAGGCCCAGGGGTAGACAGTGGTTGTCTACAGAATTCTCCTTAGTGTTCCCGCTCCCCAGAGATTAGAGAAAGCCCACCTCCAGTGTGCAGCTACACAGCACATCTGAAACCCTGGAACCCCCTGCCAGATGGAGGAGACTCCACTTGAAGAAAAATGGCAGAGTTGTCAAAATTCAACATTCAGAACTATTCCACATGGTCATCAGATCTGAGTACCGACCAAGCCAAATGGACTTAATTAATCACCAGGGATTAGAGAGAACAGTAGAGGCACATTAGTAGCTTTACTGGAAATCACATGAGGCAACTTGAAAAGCTGCTGAAATCAGGATCCATGGCAGTGTTCCAGGAGCTATGGGAAGACTGAGATAACCCTAGGAGCATCCATTTTATTCCAAGAGTTGTGGGGAACCACTAAGTTCGTGTATATTATTTTTAAATCACAGGAAACCTAGGTGAAGTGTGCTATAAAATGCAGAGTTTGTGTGAATTTTTAAGGTAGTATGAAAGACGTCAAAGAAATTCAAACATCCCCCCGCAAGTTTGGTCCATGGGAAGAGTCCAATGCAGCCGTAACAGATTTGGTGTCAGGATCCCAGCTCCTGGTCCCTGATCTGCCATGGTTGGCTGCGTGACCTTGGACAAGGCTCTGGTGCCTCAGATTCCTCAACAATAGAGTTGAGGGTCTGAATGGATGCCACAAGTTTTCTTCCTGTTTCAACACCGCCTGGTCCTCAGTTCTAATCTTCTGTATTTGCCTCATGTTCAGGACACTGTGTTACCTTTTCTACTCCGAGAAACTCAGAGGATGTAACTCTTCCATCTGTTGTCTGCTTACTGGAAAATTACCAAATTCAACTGAATTGGAATAGTTACAAAACTTACATTTTTTAAAAAACTTTTCTTAGGGAACCATGAGAGACTATGGACTCTGAGAAACAAACTGAGGGTTTTAGAGGGGAGGTGGGTGGGGGGATGGGTTAGCCTGGTGATGGGTATTAAAGAGGGCATGTACTGAATGGAGCACTGGGTGTTCTATGCAAACAGTGAATCATGGAACACTACATCAAAAACTAATGCTGTAATGTATGGTGACTAACATAACATAATAAAATTAAATTAAAAAAAACTTTTCTTAGGAAGAATAATTTTGTGATCACGCTTAAAATTTGTACTGTTCTGGCAAAAATAAAATTGTGGGAACAAGTACACAAAAACACAATGAAAGTCCATAGGGGACTATGACTCAGTATAGATTCATCCATACTTAGTTGTCATTAATGAACCTCTAATTACTTTGAATTTGGACTTGCCAGCATGGTCCTAGTCATTGATTCCTGGGAAAGCTCAAGCAGAGAGACAGTGTGGGAGGGAATCAGTATGAGGAGAGGAGAAAATTGGCTTGTTGAGTCTTAGTGCAAACTCCCATCAGCACCAGAGAAGGAAATTTCAAAAACAGAGTACCTTAAACACAGACTAAGTGATCTGCTTGAAGCGCAAAGCTTTATGACAGTTTGAATCAACGCCTTTGGCGATTCTCTCAACCAACTTCATTCCTGAATGTCCAGCTGTGGTCTGTTGGGACTAGTTATATACTAAAGACAAGAGTGTATGGAGGGGAGAAGACATGGCACATGGATTTGCATTCACGTCCTCTTTTGTTTCATAGACAGAAAGATATATTTTCAAAGGATTCAGACAACCCTCAAACCCCAGCCCCCAATTTTTAAAGAAGTCCCCATGAGCCCTGAGCTGGAAAGACCCACAGGGTTCAATCCAATGTTTCAGCTGCTGTCTAAAGCTGCCAAGGTCATGGGACAATGTTCATTCCTGGGACTGAGCTGGGGGAGGCTCTTGGCTTGGATGGGAATAGAAGGGAAGAAAGCGAGTGCCAGGGAGGAGGATTTGCCTTGGACAGAGGGAGAGCTAACTGGACCCTAAGGAGGGAAACAGAAACCATCTGGCTTCCAGTTGAGGCGAGGACTTGGGGAACAAGGGAAAATGGGCAAAATGGGGAAGGAGGCAGACAGAGAGAATAGTCATGCAACCTGTGACTGACCCCAGGAGCTTGAGTCCAGCCCTGACTCCTTGCAGTTGGCATGGTCCCATCCCACCAAGACTGCCGTGAAACAGCGGCCTCCTCCTGGACTTCCCAGCTAACATTAGGGGTTGTAATTGGATTGAGGTGGCAGGTGGCATAGTGGGACTTGGAAACCTGACAGATTGGAGTGCAAATTCCAGGACTATGCAGTTTAAAACAAGTTGCTTTACCTCTGACCTTCCCTTACCTCATCTGGGAAATGTAGATTATCATTATTAACTTATGGGATAGTTATGAGAATTAGACCAACACTCCTCAAACTTTAACACTCATGCAAACCATCTAGGGATCTTGTTAAAAATGCAGAGCCTGGGATGGTGTCCCCATCAGGCTCCAGCCCACTCTCAGCATGGTGTGTGCTTGAGAGTCTCTCTCTCCCTTTCCCTCTGCCCCTCCCCCTGCTCGAGCGCATTCTCTCTCTAAATAAATAAATTTTTAAAAATCTTTTTAAAAAATGCAGAGCCTAATTAATTAGATTGGTGGTAGAGTCTGAGATTTGGCATTTTTCATGGACCTGGGTAATGCTCATGCTGCTGGTCCCAGGACCACATTTTGAATAGTGATGGGTTAAGGTGACAAGGCATGAAAACCACGTAGCATGGTGGTTGGAACTTCATAGGTGCTTACTAAACAGAACCTGTCTAATTTAATAAAGAGTTACTGGGTGAAGAGGCACTCTTCAGGTCCTTGAAGAGATGGTAATAATAATGGCTATCCACTGAGTATACACAAAGAAAGTGTCAGTTCGATGTACCGGTAGGCACTACCTTTTAGAACTCTTACAACAAATCTGTGAGTTTATCCCCATTTTATAGGTGACTAATTGAGGCCCCAGTGTCAAGAACACATCCAGATAACACATGGGACAGAAACAGAGTGTGAAGTCTCATTGCCTCATTCCTTCCCTTGGTTGCTGACCCTGGCCTTAGAGCAGTAACAATCTAATGGAAAACAGCAACCCACAAGGCCTCAGCAGCAGGTTATCCACGGCCTCTGAAAGAGCCTCTCTAGGCAACCCAACACTTTCTTTAAAAAAAGTCCTTCCATAACTTTTCTGAATCCTGAAATTACACCAAAATTTAAAATTACCTTCCCCATTTTTTTTTTTACCTTCCTCTTAATGTTTCTATCCTCTAAAGCTGATTTTTCTTATCTCCATGATAGCCAGCACTCCATTCTTTGGATTCTTCTTTTTTAATACACAGAAATAAAAATAGGGCTAGTTCAGAGATTTATCTCACAGTATTATAAAGATAAAATGAATTAATACATGGGGAGAATTTAGAACTTCTAAACTCTCTTCCTGCTCTTGAGTTTTGAACTCAAAATCGCATTGCTGATGAGAATTCCAGACCTTGAGCAAGTTATTTAACTTCTCTGTGTCTCAGTTTCATCATCTGAGAAATGGGCCCATAATAGTTATCTCACTGGGTTGTTATAAGGATTAAATGAATCAATAAGTGGAAAGATCTTAGCACAGTGTCTGAGTCAATAAATGTGAGCTATTTTCCTGGGTACTGTTTCAAGGGAACATGTACTAGACTTTTGATAAAGAAAAATGAAATTTGAAACCTGGCACTCAACTTGCATTTTCCCTGCAATCCTCTGCTTTTTAACTTTAAAAAATGGGGCAAATATTTTGAGATACACACAGGCAATTGGATCCAGGCACAATAGTCCAATGCTGCAAAACTGGTTTTTTTTTTTTAGGGTTAAGATGACTCATGGGTGGCTTAAAAAATCTTTTCAATATGCCCCCACGGCCTCCGAAAACGTTTAAATGGACTGAGAAGTTCGGGCATCTGTTTATATAATCATTTCAAATTGAACAACCATCATTTTTCCAGAAGAAGCATGTGGGTGTTGTTCTGTGAAATAAAATAACATAGAGGTGAAAGACAAAAACCTCACAGAACGTCAAAGAGATTCCTCAGGCAGATAATTCCAAAGACAAATGATAGGATATTCCTACTCTCCTAATAGGATCCCCCTAAGGCTGACACACAGAGTAGGGGGGAGGTTAAGGGCTGCAATATGCCCAGTTATGAAGAAATGAGGCTTTTTCTGACAGGCCCTGAGAAGGGAGTTTCTCTCCTTGCCGGTGTCAACAGAAACAAGGTCATCCCTTATATGTGAACTGGCAAGCAACAATGTAACACTTCTACATTGTTACATTTAGGAAACAGAATTGGTTTCCAGCATCCTGGGGCAAGAATATGTCCAAGAAACAGAAAGGAGAGCAGACAGAAGTGACAGAGCTGAGGTCCAAGTATACTGAAGCTGGTAGATTCTTTTCACATACCATTATACCCTTTTACCTGGAACCCAAAGCAACTAAGAGGCCAAGGACATCCTGACCAAATAGTAACCCTACATCAGATCCCAACAGTCTGCCCAGGATCCTCTCAGAAAGCCGCACTGATGGGCATTTGAGGAATGTAACCGTACCCCAAGGATCACTCTCCAAATGTTAGGGAGATGCCTTTTGAAAATAGATCATTATACCAGGGAGGGAGCTCGATAACATTCACTTGTGACCCCCTCTCCATTTTAGAGCTGAGCAAAATGAGACTCAGAAAGATGAAGAGACTTTTCCAAAGGCACCTCATTGTTGATGGAAGAGCCAATCTCTAATTTTAACTGTTATTTGGTTATACCCTGCCTTTATGCATCCATTCAGGAAGTTATTGAGAGCTGCCCTCTTGCTAGCCCATCTCTGTCCACACATCCTACTGGACAAGAGAGGTGTAACAGCAAACAAGGAACTCAACGCTCTGCATTTTAACTTTGTTTCTCAAAACCCAAGGCATGTAGTCCAAGTTTTGCAAGCTATCATAATTTTACCTATTGATTCTTAGAGGCATATTCACAGCTGTGATAACAGTGTCTGTCACCTACCATTTCTCCTTAAGAGAAAATTAAATGGTCTAGCACAGCTAAATTGATTAGCTATTAGGTTGAACCATATGACATTTCCACTTTTGCCGGTCCAACACAGTTGAATATTGGCAATGTCACATGGTTCAGTCTGACATTCATAAGCATCCTGGAGTCTCTTAAATAGAGAACCACTCTTCATTTTGATAGATCATCCCATATATTCCATGAGAATGTGTTACATGGGTTTCAGTTAGAAAAGTCAAGTCTGGAGAATAGGTAAATAAATTGTGGTATATACCCACTTAGCGTAGTTCAGAACAGTAGTAAAAAAGAACAAGTTCCCCACATGCACAACATAGATAAACAAGGAGAACAGACATCATGTTGAGTGGAAGAAGCCAGATACGAAAGAGTACTATATATGCTATAGAATTCAACTGAAATGAAGGTTCAGAACAAGCCAAATTGCTTATTTGACTGCAACAGAAGCCAGAAGAGCAGTGACTCTGTGGAGTGTGTGGTTTGGGGAAACATGAGCAAAACTTATAGGATGTTGAAAGGGTTCCAGATCTTGTATGATGTCTTGGTCACAAGGGTTTAAACATTTATAAAAATCCATCCAGCTGTATACATTTTAAATTAAAGCACTTTGCCCACTTTGTTATATGGGTATGTGTTTTATACCCCAAGAAAGAAAAGAAAGAAGAGAGAAAGAGAGACAGAAAAGGAAAGGAAAGGAAAGGAAAGAAGGAAAGGAAAGGAAAGGAAAGAAGGAATGGAAAGGAAAGGAAAGGAAAGGAAAGGAAAGGAAAGGAAAGGAAAGGAAAGGAAAGGAAAGGAAAGGGAGTTACATTCTACAGACTCTCCTGATACAATTTAGCATAGTGGGGAAGCATAGGCTCTAAAGGCAGATAATATCAATCTGCTACTAACCACATATTTGACTTTTGATGGTATACTTAACCTCTCTAAGCCTCAGTTTTCTTATCTCTGAAATGGAGGTATACAGTAATACCCACCTCATAGAGTCTTGGGGATATTAAATAAGTGAATGTTTGTGAGGCACGTTGCACAGAAGAAGCGCTCAAGAGTGGCCAGTTTGTACTAGTAGTTAACACTAGTAGCAGAGTCCATAACGAG